ATTGGGAATACAGGTAGTCCTTAAAGTGCTGTGAAGCGGTATATAAGTCTAAATGCTTTTGCTATTGCTACTTAACCATGATTGGTTAGCTAAGCCACAACTGGGATTCACAGTACCGAAAGCACATAGCATGATTTACAAACTGGGTTTAGAAACATGCTAAATCAAAACTAAGCAAACTACATTTTGGTTTAGGATTTCTCTCCAAAAACCCACACACTGAATGAAGCCCGGTTGTAATGAAGGGCTGTGAGAGTTGGGTGCTTTCGAATTGTGCTGGAGAAGTCTCTTGGACCGCAAGGAGGTCACAGGGAGAACAATTCATGATTAATAATAATTAATACCTAGAAATCGTGGCTGTTCCTCCAACACTGGAAGTTTTTAAGAAGAGACTGGACGTTTGCCCGGAACGATATAGGAAGTCAACTCAACTTACAACCACAATACGACACGATACAAGGGGGCGCTGTGCTTAGAATGCAGGATCCCATCCAGGTTGGCTCTGCCCACTGTCGGCAGTTCGATCCTGACCGGCTCAAGGTTGACTCGGCCTCCCGTCCTTCGGAGGTGGGTAAAATGAGGGCCCAGATGGTTGGGGGCAAATAGGCTGACTCTGTAAACCGCTTAGAGGGGGCAGTAAAGCGGTATATAAGTCTAGAGGCTGTTGCTAGTGCTTTTGATATGATGGGTGGAGAAGAAACAACAACAGGTGGAAACTAATCAAGCAGAGAAGCAACCTAGAATGGAGGAGAAACTTCCTAACAGTGAGGACAATTAACCAGTGGAACAGCTTGCCACCAGAAGTTGTAGGGGGCTTCATCACTGGGGTTTTTTTAAAGAAGACACTGGACAGCCACGTATCTGAAATAGTACAGGGTCTCCTGTTTGAGGAGGGGGTTGGACTAGTAGACCTCCAAGGTCCCTTCTGATTCTGATTCTGACTCTCCAGGCACCACAACAACAGCATCGCTCTCACATCAACAGGACACCTTCCTTTCTACATTCTTTGCTTTTTTTTTTTTGCTTTGAAAAATGCCCCGTGCAATTTTTTATTTTTTTTTGAAGAACTCAAAGGTCTTCGAGGAGATGGCGAAGCACGAGTGGAATCTCAATGACTTCTCGGGGACAGGCGGCGTCCTGCACCATCGTGGGAGATCCTGCGAGCTGTGCAATGGGGCCGAGGATCTGCGCTGCGCAAGAAGGACAAAGTAATCCCTCGGAGGTTTCGGTGCCGTCCGACTGCCAGAAAAAGGTTGAGGGGAAAAAAAAAAAGTGAGGTTTGCGAGACAGAGACGATCTCTACCCACCAGTGTTCATGGGAGGCGGCTCTAAATAGCATCGTCCTGATTCTGGAGTGCTGATAAGAGAAGAGGGAATATTTGTAGCTGAGGGTTGAACTGTGGGGTCCTGGGTGCTCTCTCAGCCTGGTGGTTTTCTTGCAGATGTTTCTTGACCCAACTAGGGAACATCATCAGTGCTAGAAGGGAGTGGGGTTTGTGAGGAGGAGGAGGAGGAGGAGGAGGAGGAGGA